TTAATATCTTGCTATGTTTCCAAGTTAAGTTTTAGCTATACATTAACGTAATTAACGTGCGTTCATTGATTGATTGATTCATTTATTTAGGACATTTCTTTTACCAAAGTGTACAAGAATGCCCCAAGTATATTTGTTTCAGCGAATCACACTTCCAGTGGGGGAGGCCTGGATCCAATGCACAACTCCATAACCGCTTGGGTTGAGGTGAGTCAGAGTTCGATATCTGCGTACTTAAGGTGTTTTGATACAGTTTTTCAGAGGCCATACCGATATTTTTCAGTCGCCTTAAAAGTGTTTTTTTCCTTGTCCAATCGCCATGAAATTTTCACCAATAATTGTCTATGGATTGAAATTTGTCAGAATGTGGGTTTTAGTAAAATCGATACTACTATGACAACAATAAACAAAAAACTTTGAAAGTAATAAAAGCCCAAGTTTGCGCAATCTAGACCAGCTACTGAAAATCCAACACTAGGAACTTAAAGTTTGGTGGTGAGCAAATAACCTCCGTAAAAAGTAAAGAATTCTGTAAGTTTCAATTCGACAGAAACGAAAATGTATTTCAAACCTTAAATTTTAAGTAGCCGTGATAGATTATTTAATAAAAACGTTGTAAATGACTGAAATTATTCTTAAGTAGCGTCAGAATGCTGCTTAAAATAATATTTTGATGGTAGGAAATTTTGGTGTATTTTCGTTCTTGCGATCTCGAAAACTAACCCGTTTTCTCACCACCTGTCTAAGTGGAACTTGTTCCAAATTTGGACTTTTAGCGCTTTTTTGTATATCTTTGAAACGACTCGAACGAATTTTTTTTCAAATCTCTATACATAACCTTCATAAATGAATTAAACTTAGAGGCGTTAGCGCCCGCGTTAATTCAGTCTCTAAGTCAAGGGAAAAACTATTGACGTTTATTTCTAGGAGGGGTCTAATTAAGTCACAGTATTCAAAATAAGTGAACCAACATGCAGCTTACATTTCTTAATTTCATTGTCATTAATACAAGCGCTTTTGACAACATTAATTTATTAAGCAATTCCAATGACATATACCTTCACCCTAGTAAGCTAAAGCCCCGTGGAAACGGACGCAACATTGTTGGGAGTTGTTGTGTTCGTTTGCACGTGGCTGAAAGTTTGATCGGTTTCAAACTTTGCGCAACAACTTCCAACAACATGAAACAACAAGCAACAGGGTGTGCAAACGGACACAACGTGTAACATCTGTTGTGAAGTATTTAAGAATGTTCGCATCTTTAAAGTTTATTTTTCGTTTCATTAAGTGGGTCAAAGTTAGTGTAGATTTTTTCTTAGTAGGTGTTTTCCTATTTTGATCTTCTAGTAAAGCTCGCGGATTTACTTAAAGTCATTTTAGGAATATTGTTCGCTGCTATTGATGGTTTTAACAGTGACGCCATCAGATTGCAAAGTCAAAAAAGTGAGGTTTTATGAATTCTTATTTACACTAGGTTGAAGATAAATAGAAAATAAATCTTTGTAGAAGTTTCCACTACCGAAGCATGTTTCATTTCGAACTTCCGAGTTTTTACAGTGCGTGACACCAAAAAGGAATGCTGTTTCATTGAAAAAGGTCATCCCTCTTGATTTTCAGCAGTTTAACCATTTCAAGTGTTAAAAGATGTGTTTTTGTGCACGTATGCTAGCTCTCGAGTGAAAAGGAAGAGCTTTTTATAGAAAACGTGAATTCCAGATCTTTTTATTGATTTCCGGAGGGCATATTAGTTGACATTTTCTGTCCACCAATAAGGCGTCTCCATACAAAGCTATACCGGAGGCAAGAGAAATGTTCAGGCAAAAAACTGAGAAACTGTGGACCACAAAGACCTGAGATTTGGATAAATTGGTAGTCTTTTACAACATTTCATTTTCTTGGCTTCTTCAACAGGACGGTTTCCAGTTTACTTTAACGAAGAATTGTCAGAATATTGCTACTTTATCATAGGTGGCCGTTTTTGTCATGTCAGCGCTGAAAATTGGTTCATTAGTCTCGTTGAAGTTCCTGTTTTGGTGTGTTAACCAGCGTTTTAGTTTTTCATCGGTTTGTAGCTTTTTACTTATCACAACTATGTAGGTAATTCAGAAATACCAAAACATTACCCACATCGAGTTCACCTTGTTTTTTATTCCCACCGTCAGCTAACTCAAGCATGTCCAGCTTAGGTCAGCTATCTGACTTACCTAGAGCACACACCCCCACATACACATCCAACATTGTTGGCCAAGAACGGGCAACAATGTTGTGTCGGTTAATTGCACGGGGCTTAAGTGCTAGGCAGTACTGTAGTCAATACGGTATTGAAGGCAGTCACTTGCAAAGTACACTATATTGTCGAGACTAAGACGAGATAATTAAGGAATTGTGCATTATTAAATGAACTCTCATCGTCACATATCTCATTTTCAGTATGTCAACACAACTGGAGCTCGAGTGTGTTTAAAGGAGTTGTACAAGTCAAAGTACGACCCTCTCTCTGTATCATATACTGTCTTGTCAGGTAAGAACGGTTTAGTGGCATTCTTGTTTTAGCAACACATAGGTTTTACTGATTACTCACAACTAATTCATTATGAATGCATACAGAGATAACTTACATACGAGAGTCATTTCATTAATAGAGGAAGGCCATCATTTTAAATATTAGCTCCCTGGAAGTCGTTCAATGTTTAGTGCTACTAGTTATTCCATTTAATCAGTAGATACTGCTCTCAATTTGGCGTCGTCAGTTTTATTTTCCTCTTTTCCTCCTGCTAAGCGTATCGGCCGCACAAGCAGTTGGAATGATGTTTGTGAAGCTGCCTCGTCCCCAGTCGCTCGCGTTGCTTGCCTGCACTTCTCGCGCTTCTCGATTGTTCTGTTCTCCCCACTAAGCCTTGGGAAAGCCTGTGGAAAAGGCACTCTTTAAGGGACCAAATGTGTGGAGATTTCTAAACTGCACAGTCGTTTTATATCTTTATCACAGATATTTGCCAGCCAAGATGGAGTTTTTTTGGTGGCTACTGTTACTTCACAAGTCGTGCATGCGCCTCGTGGCTGACCGCTGAATCAAACTGTTCTACGATGAGTTCCAATTTGGTAACAGTTCACGATCAGGAAGAAAATGTCTACATTCAACACCGTCACAACGGAGAGAGATCTTGGATTGGACTCAATGACCGAAGTGTGGAGGGCTCCTTTGTGTGGACAAACAAAGAAATAAGCAAATTTAGGTTCTGGGCCCCACAGCAACCGAACGATTGGAAAAACGAAGACTGTGTTCACACTCTTGGAGCCAAGCATGGTTACACTTGGAATGATGTGCCATGTACTAACTGTTACAACTACACTTGTTTTAAAGGTACTAAGCGTAGCAAGGTTTATAACTATCTAATATTAATAATCTTCATGTTCCAGATAGTGAATCTCAGTAGACATGTAACTACGTTAAAAAGGTGATAACACAATTAAAGCATATCCTATTACACGGAAAACAAGTTATCGGTAGGCAGATTGCATGGAAAGCAAGAGAGGGTAACACCAATCAGACTAGACTCAAGTAAAGGTAGTTTCGGTATTAGAAACATGAGGATTACACCTTACATTTGCATTAAAAAATATCCATTGACCGAAAAATAGCCGCAAAAGCCTGAAATCGGTATAATCAAAAGAAGAACGGGAAAAGTCGCGCCAACCTCCACTTAATTTTCAACTATGTTTTTTAGACACCTTTTTCAAATGGTTAATGAGCATAAGTTCAGGGAAAGCTCCCATACGACCCTTTTTTTAAAGTCCCTTTTTTTTGGCCTTTAACTAGTGTACGTTATTACCGTCAACTAACCTACATTATCATTTATTCAAAATATTTCCCCGATTCTGATTGGCTAAAAGCACACGTTTAATTCACCATAACCAGTTACTGATGACCAAATTTGGAAGAATTTTGTGTTTAGCGAGGAAATGACGTCAAAAATGCAGCGTTCTTGCAGGTTAATGCACCGTTAACCGAGAAGACCTGGGAACGAGGTTGAGTTGTTTTGGTTGTGAACTTGAAAAATAGCGGACGTTTCACTCGTTTCAAGAGTAAGAACTAGGCCAAAAAATAGCTAAAAACATGGCAAGAACAGCAAGAAGAGAAGTCGAAAGGCGACATCTGCTGTTTGGAGAAAAGTGCGCTATCGAAGATGAACTTAACATCGATGGATCGATGGAGGTAAGCATGTTTTAGCCATGTTTTTAAACTAGGAATTATTTTGAATGAATAGTAAAACAATTCAGTTTTGAATTCGGCTTTCGCATAATATGAGGAATTATCGAGATCTCGGAGGGTTTTATCCGCCTCGGCCTACGGCCTCGACGGATAACACCCCCCCTTGATCTCCATAATTCTTCATAAGATACTCAGTCTCATTCATTAATTGTTAAATATATTATTTTTAAACAAACTTCACTAACTAAAAAAGTCATGTTGTTTGACAAGAAGCCTCTGTGTGCTTATTTTTTTCAGACTTGGATGAATGTACCACTGGTTCCCATTCCTGTGACGTCAATTCCGTATGCCAGAATACCGTGGGTTCATACGCATGCTCGTGTAATGCTGGGTACACTGGAGATGGAAAAGCCTGCAATGGTATTTAAGACAAACTGTTGATCTTTCATGTGCGACCATCCTTCCAAAGTGACCCATAAGCCGAGATGGATCTACACATATCGTAACTTTGAAATTACGCACAATAAATTATTTTTTCAAACGCACCACCTGTAGTTCAATTCTTGTAAGCAACACCCTCTAGTCATGAAGCAGCTCTCTTAACTCTAAACGTCAATTGTTCGGCGATACTCTAAACGTGAAAAAATGGGAAATAATGATAAGCAATGATGTGTTATTGTTTTCTGCAACCAGTGAGAAACACCTTACGAGCATCTCCTACATTAGCCCCCTCTAATCTGGAGGTTCCACTTGGACTGTGATACTATAGTCAAAGAAGACAACGAAACAGATTGAAGGCGTAATGCTTTTTTGCAAAATATCGACACTGCCATGGCGTTTTGGTAAAAAGCCTAAGACTATATTTGTTAAAGTAACAAACAAAAGCAAAAACAAAAATGAGTACATCATCTTATAATTATAGCAGCAATTCAACCAGATGTACACTATTATTCTCTCTATATATCTGTTATTCTAACCCTTTATGTAACTTACAATTCTGATGCAGATATCGACGAGTGTTCTACCAACTCTCACAGTTGTAACGTTAATGCGATTTGTAGCAATACTGTTGGATCGTACGCATGCGCCTGTAAAGCAGGATTCACAGGCGATGGAAAAACATGCTCTGGTAAGCGGTTGCCGTGTTGTAAAAAACGCTTCTAAGACGATAAATGTGCCTGTATGTTCTACTGATTCGATCTTTACATTTAAACAAGTAGAAAACGATGGACATAACCTAATATAAATGTTTCGAAATAATAATTAAAGTAAAATAAGAAATACGTATCTCGCATACTCTCCCTGACTCAAGTCGATCTTGCACTTAACATTATGTCAAAGCGCGTCATTGTAGCAATGCACGAAAAATAACAAAAGATAACGAAAATAAAAATTAAAATAATCCTCCTTAACCAGGTTATAGGGTTACAACAGTTCTTGTCTTCTGACGTGAACAGTCAGGTATGATAATAAAGGGCATGTTACAGAGGTCAGACCCTTTGACAGAAATAAAAGGTGCTTAAAAATCGACTATTTGGTCTGTCGACATAACGGAAAGGGGTCTTGTCAAAAGAATTGGTGTTACCTATTAGCTGGTCTTCCAAGATTCCTGGAGTAAATATATTGGATAATCATCGCTGTTGTAACCCTATAACCTGGTTACGGAGGATTGTTTTTATTTTTATTTTTGATACCTTTTGTTATTTTTTGGTTGTTTTTCGTGCATTGCTACGTGACGCGCGTGTCAATTATTTCGGATATCACTAAGTGTGGCGTACAACTGCAGATCGAGGTCATAAGACGAAACTATAGCTCATTTTGTAAAAATCCCCTGGATAAATGTGTGTTGAAAGTGGATCTTCATTAGACGTTTCTTTTCTCTGTTGACATTTCGAATCACGTTAAAGTCCGGAGTTTATTACTTTTTTCTTTTTTTTCAGATTAATTTGCAATTTCTTAAACTACAATTACAGCTAATTACCACTGCGACGATCATATCTTCATTTAAAAATAAATCACTTATGCTTCTCTGAATGTCATTCAGACAGATATTCTTATATTTATAGCTCTTTCGTGTTCTCAGATATCGACGAGTGCTCTACAAACTCTCACAGCTGTGACGTCAATGCGGTGTGTAGCAATACTGTGGGATCATACGCATGCGCCTGTAAAGCAGGATACACAGGCGATGGAAGGACGTGCAATGGTACGAGTTTTCGTTTCGTTTTGTTTTATTTTCCTTGAGGTGGTGGAAACAAATTAACAATATCATGATTTACGATGCAACAATTTTTTAGAGCCGTAGGCGGGGTTGCATAAAGCCTCCACACAAATATTAATACAGAACAGGAGCCCAGCCTCTGTACAGAACTATTACTGTTTCTTCATAGACCTTTTGGTCGACTGACTGTTATTCTTCCCTATAGAAAGAACTCATTTACTGGTAGAAATGAGTAATTTAGTATAAATTTGTTATTCAATATTTTCAATTTTCCCAACTCAAACCCGTTATTCTATCACTGAGTTCTATGCAAAAATTAAAAGAATCAAAGCCTGCCTAAACTGCGTCGTCTTACGAAAGTGTCTCAAGGTTTTTTCTACTTTTTAAATCCACTATCCTCCACCAGTTTATATGTTGCATCAATTGCTTGACTTTGTTTCCAATAAGCATGTAATAGTTTTTTTTAAGGAATTATAACTGAATCTTTTTAATGTTCTTGCACTATTATAGCCTCTGTTGCAGCCGGCCACGCACTTGTCTAAACCATTTGTATAGTCCGTCTGCGAATCAGTTCTCATGAGCTCGTTCTAATATCCTGTAGGGTCGCAAGGACGTATGTGAGCGTTTCTGATAGGCGGGTTTCTTAAGCGCCTTACGATCGCTACACAGAAGGTTTCGAGCGTCTGCGGCGCGGGCAAGCAGTATAAGATGCTCTTAAAAACACAACAGATGCTTCTAAATATATAGTAGAATCAACTCAGTCTCACATGTAGCCTTGAAAACATAACAAATGTTTGATACTTCAGTACACTGAATCTCCATTCGTAGATGTTGATGAATGCACCAGCAGTTTACACAGCTGCCACAAGTTCGCTTCATGTACAAACACTATTGGATCCTACCGCTGTTCATGTCACCAGTATTACAATGGAGACGGTAAAAACTGCCAGCACTCTGTGAGCGGTGAGTATAGTTTTAATTGGTCTCGAAAAGTTAAAGCAGGTAAAAGACATTCAGTGGAAGAGGAATACTTGAAGTGTTTTTAAAATTAGAGCATATTACCTGCAGGCCAAAATTTGTTCCTAGTAGACTCCATGAAAAACTTTTCAAGTCTTAGTTCCTTAAGAGCCAATGTCTGTAATTTTCGAGAATCGGTTGACGGTCGTGAATTTTTGAATTTCTTCATATTTTGCCCACATAATATCTATAGTACACTTATTTCAAAAATCACATTAAAACTTGTAAAGGCTTTCTATTTTTTCCTGAATCGGGCAAAGTCAGTGAAAAACGCCAAATCGGCGCTCTTTCGAGTATGAAATTAGCGAAATATAACCATTTTCTTCGCGCTCGTACATAAAAACGGGATGATATCTCTAAATGAAATCAAGTCACAAGGAAAACACAGACTTGTACTTTATAATTCTGCAATCATCTTTAGACAAGCTGTTTAAATGTGACTTTGTTGGCCGCAGGAAGAAACACGATTTCGGCTCTTTTCAAAAATGGCAAATTTGACCTAACTTTACCATCGTAAAAAACAACTGATAAATAGAATTTCAACATGAAACAAACACTATTTTAAAGCATATCCTTTGCCGTTTCTTGAGTGAAAAAATTTTTGGCGGCATTACAAAAGTGCATCACTGAGACACCGAAACGTGCAGCGTAGTTTCGCACGTTGGAACGCTGAAAACAAGCTAGCCGCGAGTGTAGGCACACAAAAGTATTTGCTAATTTAGCTTGTTTTACAAGGGGCACATTACGGGAAGCTCTAAAAATGCTTTGAAGAACGATTTTCAATTTGATAGTCATAAAAAAGAACTAAGTAGATTAACACTGCATTTGATCGCACGCAATTAGCTGAAAAAGACAACGCTGTTAAGTTCTCATGGACTGTAAATATTGACCTCGAGTTTCTGCACCTAAAATAAAGCCGCTAGAAACGGCGTGCTAGCTCTAAATGGGATTCGGCATCTCTAAGAATTACTTACCACAGTCGTTTCAACCGCAAGTGGCCGCAGTTTGCTGAAATCTTCCCTCGTTTAGCCTCGGACTAAACGCTGTGATGCGTGATGAAAGCCCGTGTGTAATTTGAGTCTGGTCACGCAACTGTACAGACAAGGATAAATCATCGCACGAGTGTACAATTAACACTGTTTTCTTTTTTAGTTTTATATTTTATATTCCCAAAACATGTCGAACTAAACTTGATTTTAGGATGTCACCAGCCGAAACTCAAATAGAGAAAGAAAACAAATAGAGTAAGCGGAGTCTGCAAAACTTTTCACACTAGTTTTATTTTATTTGCACTAAGCCTTCTGTGCCTTTGCTTGTAATAAACTAATCTTTACCCCGCTTAGCGCATAGACTTCTTTAATGAATTGAGGGATTTAGGTACACATGTATGCCATATGCAACATGACGGTAGAGCAGGGAAATGGAAACGAGTAAAACTAGTTAAAGAAAATTGGCAAATGCTCCGCAAAAGAACATTCCTGAAAAACCACAAATCGAAAATGGACAATGGACACATTTGATGAGCGAAATACAAGTATTTAACATGTTTAAATTACTGAAAGTAGTATTGCTTTGCTCCTCTTCAGCAAGGGCAACTTCTGGCGAGACCTCAACCTGCTGTTGACGAATTCTACTGATCCCTCGCCCCCCGAAGAGAGGCCCTTAAAGGCCGGTCTACACAGTATGGGGTAGACCAGAAAGCACGTACTGTTAGCTCCCGCCTGAAAAAAAAAAAGTAGTCACCTGGCTCTATCCGCCACCATCCCCCCGGCACTTGTTCGCAGGCTAGAAATAAACCAATTCACTGACAAGTTCTTTTTAATAACGTCAAAGTCCGTCGCGTAAATGAAAAATGCTTTAACATTTTACTTACTATCTTTCAACCAAATCCGTTGCGGAGAAAAGAGATAAAAGGCTGAAAACAGCCTTTCATTTCGATTTAAAATTTCAGATGGAGAATGCCCTTTTCCTAGGTCTGCACCTGCAGTGACTTGTGTGCTAAAACTACTTCGTGGTGGTATCTCTCAGGCAAAAACAACCGCCTAGCGGCGAGGAGCGAGGCGAGAAGTCCGTGGCCATTTTCGAAAAGAAAAAGAAGTGTAAAGGCAGCACCTTCGTCGCTCAGAAAACGTCTGCGTATATAATTTTCTTCAGGCCGCACAGAGCTATCAATTAATGTGCCTTTACAGACCCCTTTTTAAATGAGCAGCCAGCATGACCAGTAGGCTGTTCTGAAACGGTACAACGTGATTTGTTCTCCGCCACCCGGAACCAAACATTTAGCGGTGGTGAGGAAAAACTTTTATTTTTATGCGCCAATTTTGTGAATCAAACAAAGTCTGCTAGCTCTAAATGTAGTGATAAATATTTGAATTGTTGTATGTGTAGGGTTGATCCTAATGGAAAACCCAATGCCAACCAACCCACCCATCTCCTCCTCCTTCCCTAAAGTAGACTTTTCATGGCGTTATCATAATCACCTGAGACCTCTACTTTTTCATTAGAGATCGTCGATCTATTTTCTCTTTGGATATCGTCGACTTTGCGTATGAAAATAAAAGCCGCGGGGGATTTATTGACCAGTAGAGCAAGGGGCTCTCTCTCGCGCGCTCGCTTCGCTCGCGTGCTCGTCTATTTTCCAAACGAAAGAGAAGTGTAAAAGCTGCACATTCGTCGCTCAGAAAACGTCTGCGTATATCATTTTCAGTTCAGGCCATGCAGAGTCATCAATCAATGTGCCTTTATGGACCCCTCTATGAGCAGCCAGTAGGTTGATCTAGAACGGTACCACGTGATTTGTTGCACCGCTACCCGGAACCAAACATTTAGAGGTGGTGAGGAAAAACTCATATTTTCATGCGCCAATTTTGTGGATCAAACAAAGATCACCTAACGTAAATGCAGAAAACCTTACTTTTATCATTAGCATGGTCGGGTCGATGTTTGGTTATTGCCCTACATACTCACGTGACTAACAAGTCAGGAGCATACCAAGTGACTCACGACATCTTTTCTATGATCGCAATACATTCAGCACTACTGGGGCCACAAGCGCCACAAACCAAGTTTGAATATGTGCGCGATTCTATACGAACATACAACAAAGACTTGCACCGTAAAACACTTATACCAGGAATTTCTTTTCCGGCGCGTTACGCGTCACTCACTTCCGGAATGTCATCTTCCCTCGTGTTGACAGATTGAAAACATATACAAACTTAACTTCGATTCTGCCGTGATGCAGAATTTAGTTAGCGGTACTGTGACCCCGTCTAGCATTTAAATTCAGGTAAGTAAATAACGTTTCTGATATTAAGGTTTCAGTACGATTAAAACTATAGCAAGCGAGTATTTCGACAGTATTCCCCTCTACTAACTGTGATTTGAACTGCGTATTCGTCTCTTCATTATGGTTTATCGCAAAAATCAGTTGAAAGGAATCATGTTAACTACTACTAACTACCGGCAACTACTAGCAATTACTAGTAACTACTAGTAAATACCAGTAACTACTAGTAAGTACCAGTAACTACTAATCACTACCACTAACTACTAGTAAATACCAAGAACTACTATTAACTACTAGTAACTACTAGTAACCACCGACAACTACTAGTAACTAACAGTAACTACTAGTAACCACCGATAACTACTAGCAACTACCAGTAACTACTAATAACTACCACTAACTACTAGTAACTACCGACAAATAATAGCAACTACCAACAGCTACTAGTAACTACAAGTAACTACTAATAACTACCACTAACTACTAGTAACTACCGACAAATAATAGCAACTACCAACAGCTACTAGTAACTACAAGTAACTACTAATAACTACCACTAACTACTAGTAAATACCAAGAACTACCAGTAACTACTAATAACTACCGACAACTACTAGTAACTACCAGTAACTACCAGTAACTACTAGTAACTACCAGTAACTACTAGTAACTACCGATACCTATTAGGAACTACTAGTAAATACCAAGAGCTACCAGTAACTACTAGTAACTACTAGCAACTACCGACAACTACTGGTAACTACAAGTAACTACTAATAACTACCACTAACTACTAGTAAATACCAAGAACTACCAGTAACTACTAATAACTACCGACAACTACTAGTAACTACCAGTAACTACCAGTAACTACCAGTAACTACCAGTAACTAGTAGAAACTACCAGTAACTACTAGTAACTACCGACAACTACTTGTAACTACCAGTAACTACTAGTAACTACCGACAACTACCAGTACCTACCACCAACTACTGGTAACTACAACCAACTACTAGTAACCACTAGTAACTACCGACAACTACCAGTAACTACCATTAACTACTAATAAGTACCACTAACTGCTAGTAAATACCAAGAACTACCATTAACTACTAATAACTACTAGCAACTACCGACAACTACTAGTAACTACCGCGAACTACTACTAACTACCAGTAACTACTACTAACTACCGACAAGCACTGGTAACTACCAGTAACTACTAGTAACTATCGATTACTACTAGGAACTACTAGTAACTACCAGCAACTACTAGTAACTACCGATACCTACTATAAACTATCAATAACTACTAGTAAATACCAAAAACTACTATTAACTACTAGTAAGTACTAGTAACTACCGACAACTACTAGTAACTACCAGTAACTACTAGTAACCACCGATAACTACTAGCAACTACCAGTAACTACTAGCAACTACCGACAACTACCAGTAACTACCACTAACTACTAGTAACTACCAGCAACTACTAGTAACTACCACTAACTACTAGTAACTACAAATAAATACCACCAACTACCAGTAACTACTTGTAACTACCGACAACTACTAGTAACTACCGAGAACTACCAGTAACTACCAGTAACTACTAATAACTACCGACAACTACTAGTAACTACCAGTAACTACCAATAACTACTAGTAACTACCAGTAACTACTAGTAACTACCAGTAACTACCAGTAACTACTAGTAACTACTAGTAACTACCATCAACTACTTGTAACTACTACTAACTACCGACAACTACTAGCAATTACTAGTAACTACTAGTAACTACTAGTAAATACCAGTAACTACTAATCACTACCACTAACTACTAGTAAATACCAAGAACTACTATTAACTACTAGTAACTACTAGTAACCACTGACAACTACTAGTAACTACCAGTAACTACTAGTAACCACCGATAACTACTAGCAACTACCAGTAACTACTAATAACTACCACTAACTACTAGTAACTCCGACAAATAATAGCAACTACCAGCAACTACTAGTAGCTACCAGTAACTACTAGTAAATACCAAAAACTACCATCAACTACTAGTAACTACCAGTAACTACTTGTAACTACCATCAACTACTAGTAACTACCGATAACTACTAGTAACTACCAGTAACTACTAGGAACTACCAGTAACTACTAATAACTACTACTAACTACTAGTAAATACCAAGAACTACTATATATTAACTACTAGTAACTACTAGTAACTACCGACAACTACTAGTAACTACCAGTAACTACTAGCAACTACTAGTAACCACCGATAACTACTAGCAACTAACAGTCACTACTAGCAACTACCGACAACTACCAGTAACTACCACTAACTACTAGTAACTACCGACAACTACTAGTAACTACCAGTAACTACTAACAACTACTAGTAACCACCGATAACTACTAGCAACTACCAGTAACTTCTAGCAACTACCGACAACTACCAGTAACTACCACTAACTACTAGTAACTACCAGCAACTACTAGTAACTACCACTAACTACTAGTAACTACAAATAAATACCACCAACTACCAGTAAGTACTTGTAACTACCGACAACTACTAGTATCTACCGAGAACTACCAGTAACTACCAGTAACTACTAGTAACTACCAGTAAGTACTAATAACTACCAGTAACTACTAGTAACTACAAGTAACTAATAGTAACTACCACTAGCTATTAGGGAGAAGACACAATACTACATATCACACAGAGTGTATATTACCAGTGCACTGGCTTTCTACCATGAAGTATATACCTTTTTAAAAATGAAATTAATTGTTATTACTACTATTATTTTATTTTTTTCTATTTCAGAATGTCAGAATTACGCAAGTCTTAACAGCGGTGACAGAAAGATCACGTACACTGTTTACCACCATTATTGTGACAGTGGAATCGGACCTGGGTGGTTCCGTTTCGAAGGGTCCGCTGGTACAAGAATGCCAACTTCATGTACGCCGCATTATAGATGTGGCACTCATTTGCCAGCCTGGTTGAGTGGTGGACACCCTACAGTAGCACACGGTCAGGTCACCAGGACGGTGTGTTTTCATTATAATGGTAACTGCTGTTATTGGTCAACAAACATCAAAGTGAGAAACTGTGGTTCATTTTATGTGTACTATCTTAATCAGATACCTGTTTGTGATGGCCGTTATTGTGGTACTGATTAAACACAACTGCAAGGCGCAAAGACAGTATTTCATGTTCCCTTTAGTTTCACTCAAAGTGGCTTTCTTTCTTTTTTGTATTAAAAAATACGAAGGGAGAAAAAAAGGTAAGATAGCATTGTCCGGTTAGCAAGTTTTAGAGAGTGTGTTGCAAATTAATTTGAGTATAAATAGTCCTACTCTTAGGTTGCTTTAAAATAATCAAAATTAAGCAAACAGTACTAATGGAACTTACTAGGAAGTCAAACAATGCCTTTGACTTACAGATCAATTAGGATGGACAACAACGACAGTAGGATGGACAGGGGGAAAATATTGTTAACTTATAATTTCATATTGATCAGATAGTATAGATTATCTAAAACACGAACGGAAACAACAAAAATTATACAGTATAAATTACTATTCCGACAATAATTATACTAAAAGTTAATTATCTAATTAACCAGATTTTTTGGCTCAAGATCTGTTTTGTTTTTTGAAACATTACATGGGCATATTTGGCTATAACTTGTGAATTATTGTCATTGTCTAATCTACGTAAATATAAAGTTCTATCATTAACTGTAATTTTATAAATTGATGAAGTTTCCATCATTTTCGGAGAAATGAAAATAAAGTTTCTGTTTCAGAACACATATGTATCGTATTTCATTCAATCAAGCGCCTTCTATGCGGTTTCTTTTACAAACTAAACAAAGCCTTTCCTCTACTGGTATAGACGCTCCCTTATTTTCATATTTCCCTGTTTGTATACGTAAAGTATGAACTCCCAATCGCAGTTTAGTCATACTGATTCTATGAGATGTATTTCTAACTGTCTTTATATTCTTCTAAGCGATAATCTTTTATAATTTCCTTGTTTGTGAACAACTTAAACGAGGACATAAATTGAGGCAATTTTGGCCAACGATGATTTTCTCAGTTAACTCACTGCACTACAGCTTATAAAGTTTACTGTTTACAACTGCTAGGTATTTAACTAACAAAACCTCAAACCGGGTGTGATCAGCATTAGGCAAACGGTCACTTATATTGTATGAAGCACTTCTAGAAAAAAATTAAATGCTGTTTCGTAGTTGTTCTGCAGTGTTTTGATTACAGTAGAGCGGTCCTCTAACTGAAAGTATAAGGTGCAGTAACTGGCTTCCCCCTGGTCCGACAGTCATTCTGAAGCACCCTTCCCCTGACCTATCAATCGGGGAAGTTAAGAATGGAAGCAGTCAAAACTGAATCATCTAACGGCTCATTCGATTGACCATATTCTGCAATAGTTCAAAGGCAAATGATATTATTGAATAAACGTTTAAAAAAAATTGTTATGGTCTGTGAAACTGCTAACAATTTTTAGAGCTTATATATAACATTCTAATGTGTATAAAGGGTTTAGTTTATCGTTTGGCTCACGATTCAGGAGTAGTAATAGTCGCTACTTCATCACACAGCCAATCAGAATCGAGTATTTCAAACACGTGACTGAATTAATTCACTCTCGACCAATCAGCGAATTCGACCATCACGAAAAGTGTCCCAACATTCTCCCGTCATGTAAGACACGAAAAATCACGTTTCAACCAATTTTATTCTGACGTCATACCTAGCGTTACAATCGGGACGTGTGTGACCTCCTGTTGACGTCACGCCCATTTCGTTTTAAAAAGTTTAAAAAGTCATCAAAAAATGGCTGGGAAAAGCGGTGGTTCGGTGGCCATCGCCGGTACTGGCAAGAAGTTCTCGCATTCGGCCGATGAGTCCAGCCAGCCAGGTGGGACTCGAGGCTTACAGGTTCGAATCCTGTCGGGAACGTAACTCTTTTGGTTCTTAAATCAACTCTATTCTTGTTCCTAATGAGTGGAAAGTCTATTTATAAAAATAGGAAAAAGAGGTGCGATCGCCTGGCAGCACATGTCTTCTTGTTTAGCGCTAAAAATCGGATATATAAACAAAACACACACACACACACATACACAGAGTGGAGCTGAAAACTCTCTATTTCAATTTTGACTCACCATTACGAAAGCGTTTTCTCCGTTCTATCTCGAGGAAACTACTAACTATTGAAATCTCAGCGCTTGAGGAGCTTATGGTCGCCGTTAGTCAGTTAATTATGCGGGTTAACAAGCCCAAAGTTGAATACAAATTAGTTCATCTCTACAGCTACACCCAAGGGAGCGCCTTGACTTACTATTGTAAAAACACAAACAATTAATAACTTAACAAGGATCAATTTAAACACGCGACAAATAAATTGACAAGACACGAGATACAGTTTTAAAAACTCTATTGAAAACCAGTGACAAAAAGAGTCAATCAAACAGCGATTTGAAAGGGATGGAAGTTAATCCTCTTCTTCGTTCTCCTGTTTAGAAGGGGAATAAAAATTGGTTTTCAACGTCTTGGCGTTTTTGTGTGTAATTGCTCCACAATCGTGACACCGAAGAAAGCCCTATTTGATGTAATTTCTCTCCTTCGGGATCTGGTGATCGCATATAGGACAAATCGAGTAGTTATCATGCTAAAAGCATTTAGGACATTTCATGATCAATGTCGAGTACACACTAGAGTTTTCCCAATGTTTACAGGGACTTTTAGAGTGAAAAGTGGTGGACGTCTCAGGGCTACTACTTTCTGTTTCCTGACTGTCGTTTTCAGTGTCGTTGTCGCTCTCTTGGGTGCCTTCAGCTTCAACGCCATTCTCAGAAGCCACTTCCTCCTCCTCTTCCTGATTTTCAATATCCGATGAACTCTCCTCATTATTACTCTCGTTATCGGAAGTATTTTTTACGTTTTGGTAGCCTTTTTCTTTTTCTATTAAATCACTTAACAACCTTTTGTTCTTGATTAAACCTTTATCGATTCCTAACTCTGCAAGTCCATCTAGGAAAGTATTCAGCGCACGAGGTTTGGTTACGTCATCGTTATGAGGTAGTAACACATACTCAAGCAGCTCGGCAATGTTTGTGACGGGAATTATACGTTTATTTCGAAGTAATTGTCCGCGGGGATTCCAGAATAAAAGATCTTTGGACGCGGCCATACTATGTAGCAAATCAGAAGCACGCTTTACCGACACTGCTCGGGAAAGATGACTCAAACCATCTTTTATTCTTGGTTCTTCATCCTCGCTTTCATCACCAGAACTTTCGCTTTCCTCATGTTCACTCTTATGTTCTTCTTTAATCAAATCTATCTTTCTCTTCATTTTGATGAGTACCCGTGACAGACCGTAGGTTCAAATGAGTAACTCATAGTTTCGTTTCCTCTTTTGTAGCATCAAAAATCCTAGGCTTGTAACAGCAGGTACCAATAGGTCTTGAATAAAACCATCACCCTCTTGTACAAGGATTCGCTTCTTTGTTTTGTAAGGGACATTTGTTTCTGCTAGGTTTACTAGAGCATTCTTATATGGCAACACGTTCCGCTTATTTTCTTCGGGGATAAGAATGTATTCCTTAAGTATATTGTATAAGACTTGGACTGATGCATGTAGTTGTTGTGGACTGGCTGTCCGTAAAAGAAACTGTCCCTGATCAGCTGGACAAACAGCTAAGAGTTGAAGAAAACCACGATTGTTCTTGACAACTTGAGACATTGCGACAAACTGAACTTATGATTGCAGTTTGCAGTCTTTTATCGACTGTCGTGGAGAAAAACAAAGGAAATATGGTGGCGGTGGTGGTGGTGGAGGGAAAACTATAGAAATGTGGTGGCGGTTGTGGTGGTGGTGGAGGGAAAACTATTGAATTTTATAGCCTTCAAAACTATATCAATGCGCATTATGCTAGCATTTTCTCAGTTTACATTCTGCTCCTGAGGAGCTGACATGAGATGGTTCTGTTCCGTTTGCGAAAAATCATTTAGTAGAAAGGATAGCAAGGGAGCAAAGGCACGTGATGTCTAAACACCACAATGTTGGTCTCACACCATTTCAAACAGTTCCGTTTTCACAGAAATGTCAGCGGTTTCGATTCAAGCATCCTTTTACCTCCATGACTGCCGGAATGACCGGCTCAGGAAAAACGGCCTGGGTTCAATCTCTATTGCAACAAGCTTCAGAGACAATTTACCCTCCCCCGGAGAGGATCGTTTGGTGTTATTCACAATAGGGACTTTAAGATCCGAGACGCGACGACTGTAAGACGCGACCGGAAGTAAATTTTCAAAGAAGAGACATGTTGCGCATGCTCACGCGGTCGTCTTGGTGTCACCACGTCGCGTAGAGAACGTGGGTTTCACGAGTTTGACGTTCTGTACAAAACGTGAGTATATTTGTTCCTGTGCTTTAATTAAATGACGATATATTCCCCTAAACATGTAAAATCAGCACTCTAGGATCATTGGACGTAATTTCTGGCGACATTTTAGATCGCAGAGATGGAAGGATTTTGATTATTTTCAAATTTCTTTCAGGTGCACGAAGCTTATAAAATAGCAGCACCTTCGACTTCGACTTCGAGCAAGACTTTCAAGTAAGTCGCGAGCTAAAACTGCAAATAGTGAATGCAGGAGTCTTCTGCATACTCTTCTCGTGTCTTGTACCGTTGCAATTGTCGATTTATTGCGTTCATCTGCCGCTAAAAGCCAATTTTAAGCCTGTATTATTTTGTATAATTTTATTAAACTGCGTGTGTTTTTATGCTTCCCTTTAGTTCAGTAATGTTTTGGACACATGATCATGAAGCCATTCTATGCAAAGAAGTCGTCAATGTAAATCCCTACACAACTAAGAAAGGGTCAACACAAAGAAGCAGTATGTGGGAGAAAATAGCAGACGCCTTGAACAAATGCACTGTGCCGAAATTCAGGGTTGATAAGCCATCAGTACGAGACCACGTGGGAATCCTTGTTTACAAGCATAAGAAGAAACTTCTCGCGGAGGAAAAAGCAACTGGAATAACTCCCGATGAGCCAACGGAACTAGAAAACCTATTGGATATGATCATCGCGTCGGAGGAAAGTGGCGAAGCGGAACTTCAGGAAACACAGGGAACAGCTAGCAAAAAAACTTCAATACGATCGGGCTAAAGCGGAAGATGTTAGACTAAGAGCGATGGAGAAGCTGTCAGAGACGAAGAAAAGAGGTTCATCAGCGGATGGAAGCGATGACAAACCGAAGCGTCAACGAAGAAGTGGAGGTGATGCTATCGAACAAAGCACAAACAAAGCATTTCTTGGACTTTCTTAAATGATGCCATGGCTATTTTTGCGAAAGAATTGCCGAAGAATCACACTGATAAAGAGCGGTTTGCAGTCGCGTCGTCTTTCATCGCGACAGAGATCTTAACTTTACTTTTCGCGCGCAAACGACGGCGTTCTAGTTCCAGTCCTTTATCAGCCACCGCGTTCTAGAAGCCGTCGCGTCTCAGATCTTAAAGTCCCTAATGGCAGCCAGCGTATACACAAAAGCTAGTCGCCATGCAACACACTGAATTCGTCAAGGGAATTCCTACGGCTTTGGAGCAGGATTCCTATTTTGATGTGAACAAACGGAATCTGATCGTGTTTGATGATCAGATGATTGACGCCAGTAAAGACAAGCGAATTATGAACCTTTTTACTCGTGGTTCTCACCCATATATGGGCTATTTCTCATCATCGCAATCTGAGCGTGATTTATATCGTGCAGAATCTATTTCACCAGGGGAAAGGTAGCCGCAGCATAAACCTAAACAGCCATTATCTGGTGTTATTCAAGAATCCACGAGACAAATTGCAAATCTTGACTCTTGCCAAGCAAATGTATCCTGGGAGAACTGATTTCTTTTTAAATCAGTACGAGGAGGCTGTAAAAAGACCTTTTGGTTATCTTCTGATTGATCTGAAAACTACTACCCAAGATAATTGTCGGTTGCGAACAAACGTCCTGCCCAGTGAAGATGGTTTTAATCAAGCAGGATTTCAAGAAAATATTCCTCAAGAGCTTCTAAAATATCTGAAGCAGCAAACTCTTTCGCCTGTCCCGCTTCTTCCAGCTATGCAAGAAATACAAGGCAACATGAATAACGTGCTTTCTCGAAACGATCTTCGGAACGATGAAAAAGCTAAGCGATACTTTCAGTTGCAAAACAGATACCTGGCTTTTAAAGAACAATTAAATACAAGAACACGACCGGAAGAAATAATCAGCACTGTTCCAGTCTTAACATCAAGGACACAAGATTCTTCGACAGCAACGACAGCATTCTCCACTCCACTTAACCCCTTTAATGAAACACCTGAATTAACACAAGCGGCTATCTTACAAAAACCTGAAAACGAAAGCTCCAACCCACCACTAACTTTAAATCCTGGTTTCCTGACCCCTCCTCCCACAGTAGAAACCCCATCACAAGGCCCGAAGCGCAAAAGGCGTCGGGTTCAATTTGTAAATTATTTGGATGATCATAAAGCTCATGCCAAACAGCTGAAGAAACGTCGGCATAAGAAATTCAAACCTTACAAGTACTCCATGGGCAAAGAAGATGAAGATTAATTAATTCCCATTCCTTTCAAATCCCTGTGTATTTGACTCTTTTTGTCACTGGTTTTCAATAAAGTTTTTAAAACTGTATCTCGTGTCTTGTCAATTTATTTGTCGCGTGTTTAAATTGATCCTTGTTAAGTTATTAATTGTTTGTGTTTTTACAATAGTAAGTCAAGGCGCTCCCTTGGGTGTAGCTGTAGAGATGAACTAATTTGTATTCAACTTTGGGCTCGTTAACCCGCATAATTAACTGACTAACGGCGACCATAAGCTCCTCAAGCGCTGAGATTTCAATAGTTAGTAGTTTCCTCGAGATAGAACGGAGAAAACGCTTTCGTAATGGTGAGTCAAAATTGAAATAGAGAGTTTTAAGCTCCACTCTGTGTATGTGTGTGTGTGTGTGTGTGTTTTGTTTATATATCCGATTTTTAGCGCTAAACAAGAAGACATGTGCTGCCAGGCGATCGCACCTCTTTTTCCTATTTTTATAAATAGACTTTCCACTCATTAGGAACAAGAATAGAGTTGATTTAAGAACCAAAAGAGTTACGTTCCCGACAGGATTCGAATCTGTAAGCCTCGAGTCCCACCTGGCTGGCTGGACTCATCGGCCGAATGCGAGAACTTCTTGCCAGTACCGGCGATGGCTACCGAACCACCGCTTTTCCCAGCCATTTTTTGATGACTTTTTAAACTTTTTAAAACGAAATGGGCGTGACGTCAATAGGAGGTCACACACGTCCCGATTGTAACGCTAGGTATGACGTCAGAATAAAATTGGTTGAAACGTGATTTTTCGTGTCTTACATGACGGGAGAATGTTGGGAGACTTTTCGTGATGGTCGAATTCGCTGATTGGTCGAGAGTGAATTAATTCAGTCATGTGTTTGAAATACTCGATTCTGATTGGCTGTGTGATGAAGTAGCGACTATTACTACTTTCAGGTCACTCTGATATTGATCGCGACATTTATTATGCATTATATATTCTACTACCCATTCTAGTGGGGAAGGGTGGTTGGATCGACTTTCGTGTGCAGTTTTTATTGCATTAGGTCTTGGAGGTCGCTCTGTGAGCTTTGGAGATAGAAATGCTTCCCTGGGGGAATTTAGATTTGAAGGAAATTGATATCCTGAGAACCTCTAATGATTGAAAATTGTTCCGTAATTTTGGGGCAATTCAGGTCGTGATACATTTCTACAGATACTGTTTCTAGAGAGAAGTATTCGGTAATTTCCTTAATTTCTACAGACGTTACTGTTTCTAGCATTTGTTACGTGGGGGGTGAGGGGGGTGGGTGGTACTCCCTTATATAAGCCATATATTAGGTAGGGTAGGGTTTTTGCGCCGTTTTAGTCTGAAAATGGTTAAAGAATTTGCCCATTTTGATCTGGAATCGGGTATACTTTTTGACGGATCTACTGTGGTGTATGGACATATTGCCGATTGGTTCTAAATGAGAAAACCTACAAGACGTACGAAAAACGAGCCTTTAGGCTGTAAATATCTATTTATGTGCGTTTCGAAATTGGAAGTGTTTACACAATACAATTACCGCCAGCCTACCATGAAAATTCCTGAACTTCGATGGTGTCTTACAGAGATTTCCTTTACTTACCCAAGCCAATTCCCAGGTATGTTTTAAATGAATGTCTAAATGTGTGATTTAAATAGCAAGATGAGAATTTGGAGGTATACCACATGTTAAATATTACCGTCGAAAATGAGTAACGAACTTAAATTTTTGTTATCCTAGAAACCTATCCCTCATTTTTAAAATTATTTCAGTACGACCGGCTTCCCTAATGTCCAGAAAGTATCTTCTAGTGTAAGGAAAAGAATTTTTCTGTTCGTGGAAAGTGTCCAAATTTCTCCATCCAGCTTCGTTTGCCAACGCGAGGAAAGTTGATGTTAGCGAATTTCAGGTTTAAATTTAATGCAGTCTAAGACACGACATCGAAAACCGATCTTCTATTTCTTTCTCACGAATAAAAGGCTTTCGGTGGGAACAATCTACGTTAGGATTCTTAAATACCTAAAAGCTATCTATGAACAAAAATGAAAGAAATTGATTTATCAACTCTTGCCACTAAATTACGATAACAAGAAACTGTTAAGTTAATCGTACAGACATCTTTTGCAGAAAAAAATAAAGTAGAGGGGAGAGCGTGACCTTCGAAAACATCTTTCCTTCAATAGACGAAGAATCTTCGTGGCTGTGCGGAAAAGGCTGGTCGACAATGAGCCTTCGTGGTTTTTTGATTGTCATCGTATATTAAGCCCGCAACATTAAAACAGCGGCTGTGTTTGCAAATTGATTGGCGCCAAAAAAGGGCGCTCTTTTCAGTTTAATTTATTTCTTTGGATCATTCAGCTGCGTATATTAAATTCCGCATAATTATGTCATTCCGCAAGCCATGCCACATGCCATTCCGCAAACTCATTCCTCCTTTTACCATCACCGCTTCCTGCGGTTCAAACGTGAACTGCAAACTGCAAAAGTGACCGCAGGCACGTGGTCACGTGACATTTTGCGGTTTGCGGTTTGCAGTTTCTTATGAAAAACCTTATGCTAAAAGTCTCTAAACCTTAGTGAGTTGCATGCAGGCAACTGAAAGGTCAAGAGATTGTTTTGCTGAATTTGCAATTTTTTGTCTGGTCGAGATTATACTGTCCTTTGTCTTTGCTGGATGCATTTTCATTTTATTTTCTTTTGCCCACATCGATACTGCGTCAATGTCAGGTCTAATTTTCTCCTCGATTTCAGCTAAGGTAGGCACAAATGCATAAAGGGTCGAGTCATCGGCATAAATGCCAATATTATTCTTCAGTACTAGAGGCAGATCATTTATGAAGAGCAGCAAAAGAGCGGGACCAAGGATACTCCCCTGCAGTACACCGGAGTGAATACCAAGCGGTTCAGATAGTTTACCGTCAACACTTGCCTTTTGTTACCTTCCGCTGAGGTCACTTTGTAACCATTTGAGGGAGTTAGTGTCCAAGCCATATACCTGAAGTTTCTTGAGCAGCAGTTTATGGTCTACAACATCGATAGCTTTGCGCAGATCGATGTAGTTCCTGGGTTACCTTAATATCCTTACCTTCATTAGTATTTTCCACTTTTTTAATCACGTCAGTTTTGCGGTGTGTAGTGGCATTTTTTTTAGATTTTAGCATATAAAAGGCTGGCCATACGGAACCCACGCTCTTATTTGTAAACTGCAAATGAAAATTAAATGAGAGATAAAATCTTACCTGTTTTTGTTCTATTCTTGAATCTGCTGTGGTGCGAAGTGAAATGGAAGTTGTTTTACGACCTAAAACATATGTTCAAGTCGACGCTTCAACCGTTGTTGATTTCACAATGGCGACTTTAAGATCCGAGACGCGACGGCTGTAAGACGCGACAGGAAGTAAGAGAAAGTAAGTAAGTAAGAGGAAGAGGAGACATGCTGCGCATGCTCAAGCCGTCGTCCTGGTGTCAGCACGTCGCGTCGAGAACGTGGGTTTTGCGAGTTTGACGTTCTGTACAAAACGTGGGTATATTTGTTCCTGTGCTTAAATTAAATGATGATATATTCCTCTAAACATGTAAAATCAGCACTCTAGGATCATTGGACGAAATATCTCGCGACAATTTAGATGGTAGAGATGGAAGGATTTTGATTATTTTTAAATTTCTTTCAGGTGTACGAAGCTTATAAAATGGCAGCGCCTTCGACTTCGACTTCGAGCAAGGCTTGCAAGTAATAAGTCACGAGCTAAAACTGCAAATAGTGAATGCAGGAGTCTTCTGCATACTCTTGTACCGTTGCAATTCTCGATTTATTGCGTTCATCTGCCGCTAAAAGCCAATTATTTAATTTAATTTTATTAAACTGCGTGTATTCTTATGCTTCCCTTTAGTTCAGTAATGTTTTGGACACATGATCATGAAGCCATTCTATGCAGAGAAGTCGTCAATGTAAATCCATACACAACTAAGAAAGGGTCAACATAAAGAAGCAGTATGTGGGAAAAAATAGCAGACACCTTGAACAAATGCACTGTGCCGAAATTCAGGGTTGATAAGCGATCAGTCCGAGACCACGTGGGAATCCTTGTTTACAAGCATAAGAAGAAACTTCTAGCGGAGGAAAAAGCAACTGGGATAACTCCCGATGAGCCAACGGAACTAGAAAACCTATTGGATATGATCATCGCGTTGGAGGAAAGTGGCGAATCGGAATTACAGGAAACACAAGGAACAGCTAGCAAACAACGTCAATACCATCGGGCTAAAGCGGAAGATGTTAGACTAAAAGCGATGGAGAAGCTGTCAGAGACGAAGAAAAGAGGTTCATCAGCGGATGAAAGCGATGACAAACCGAAGCGTCAACGAAGAAGTGGAGGTGATGCTATCGAACAAAGCACAAACAAAGCATTTCTTGGACTTTCTTAAATGATGCCATGGCTATTTCTGCGAAAGAACTGCCGAAGAATCAAACTGATAAAGAGCGGTTTGCAGCCGCGTCGTCTTGCATCGCGACAGAGATCTTAACTTTACTTTTCGCGCGCAAACGACGGCGTTCTAGTTCCAGTCCTTTATCAGCCACCGCGTTCTAGAAGTCGTCGCGTCCCAGATCTTAAAGTCCCTATTGCTTTATGTGGTCACTACAATATCAAAGTCGATGGAAGACGTCGACTGGCAGTCGCTTCAATCCGTTTTACTCTTATACTGGAACTTTATTGCTCATGGAGCAGTATCCATCAAGTATTAAAAGAGAGGGTTGTTGCCCACATCCGACATTTCGAATTTGCTAGTTTTCATCTAACACACTGATTTAAGCTTAGACTCGAGTTAATGACTTCGTTCGAAGAGAACGTAACTAATTTCAAGCGAAGACTCCGTATGAGAGGTTATAGAAATAAAGTGACAGATAAACACCTATCAGAAGTCAAGCATCACGAAAGAATGTCGGCTTTGCAAAACAAAACAAAGACGCACAAGAAACTACTACCATTCTTGACAGAATATCGCCCCTCAGTACCGAGCCTAGCACAAATGGTATCTTATAGAAAACCAACCGTTGCTTAGAGAAATCTTTAAAGACCCACCCATAATCTCTTACAAAAGAGGAAAGTCACTACAAGATATACTCGTAAGAGCTAAACTATGAAGGTAAGGTCAAAGCAACAGCAACTGAGCCAAAGAGAGACGTGAATAGCCTGTCAACATTATGAACAACACAAACTATGAAGCTTTAAGGTCAAAGATATACAACAACTTGGCCAGAGGGAATTGTGTATGGCCTTTCAGCATTATGAAACATTATCCGGTTTCAGTTGTCTACACAAGTTCGCAAAACCCGTCAACAAAGACAGCAAAAAAGTTGAGACAAAGGACTTATCAAAATACTCATGCAATATTGGCAAAAAAGTGTGCTTAGATTGAATCAAATCACGCAAACATCGTTAGTAGAATTCTAACTGGTCATTATATTACTGGTAACAAGTAATTTAGCTTTAATTAACTTTTCTATTAATTAAGCCAAATTACCAAATGGCCATGAAAGACATCTGGTCGCGTAAGACTTATCAAACCCTGCGATGAAACCGCCACATAGATGCTGGGGAGACTGGAGGTAGACAGTGACAGTCTTGGTGGTGGAGCTGTGACGTGTAGCAAGGAGTGATGCAGTGACTTGCATCACTCCATCAGCTCTGTGACTTGTGGACTGTGAGTATTTTCGATGGACAGTAGTTTCGATGCGAATATAATTCAACGCTTATTATGACATTCTCTCGTATTTTCATCCAATGGCAATGGTTGTTGTTGTTGTTTTTTTTACGAAGAAACAATTTCTCTTTCGAGCCTCATGTTGTTTCCTTGTCGACTTAAGCCAAAATACTTGCTGTGATTACATTAGCCAAAATACCAAGCGTTACTTTATAGTTAAGAAGCTTAAAAGGTTATTAAGGAAAAAGGATTGAAAGCTAACCTCCTCTCTGTATGACAAGAGAAACACTGAAAAGTGCGTCAAAGTAGTAATGCATTTCTCAAACAATCCTTTTGTATTACTTTGGCGTGGCAGTGCAGTAAACTAATTTATTTATCTCTATATTAAGATCGCTCCTTACAGACAACCCACCCAGCCCAGGGAAGGTGGGCCACACCATCGGGGTCTATGTTCCCTACACTGTAATTTTCAGGGAGTTATAATAACTCCTCTAGTGGGGCTAATTTAACTCCTTACAGTGGAGTTATTTTTCGTGGAGTTATTTTAACTCCAAAAAGGAGTTTAAAGAACTCTTTTTCAGGAGTAAAAGTGACCCCAGATATTGAGGAGTTAAAACCCAAAAAAAGGAGTTATCCTGTACCTAATATTTTTACTCCACTTTCAGAGTTAAATTAACTCCAAAAAGAGTAAAAACAGCCCATGTAAGGAGTACAAGTAACCCCATTTCGAAGTGATTTTAACTCCAGACTGGGAGTAAAAAGAACTCTTTTTCAGGAGTAAAAATGACCCCAAATTCGGAGTTAAATTAGGAGTTAAAATAACCCCCAAAAAGGGGTTATCCTGTACCTAAAATTTTTACTCCATTTTTGGAGTTATAATAACTCCCTAAAAATTACGGTGTATATTATATATGTAAATTAATTTTTATGAAATGTCATTTTTTAGCATAGATATTTTTCAGGAAAGAAAACCAGGGAGGAGCAGCGTGGAAGTCAACAGAAGTAAGTTTATTATTTATTTTATTTCTTGCTTTCTTCTCACTCGCGTTAGAAAGGACTTCCGGTTTTATTTGCGGTTCTAGTTTTGAAAGGTTCGAGTTTGCGCGGTATCTTTCTCCTTTCAACGGCTCTCTTCGTGAGTGGAGAGGTTTTGATCGGAGCGTGTGCGAAACGGGGACTAATATGAGCCGAGTTTGGCAAGAAATTCTATTTCCACGGTTTGCAAAGTGCCTGGGACATCATTAAGTCCGGGAAGGCTTAAATGGGCGCTCGTTGCTCAAAGAACCGAGCTTCGGGCACAATCCGAGAGACCATCCGGTGGATGGTGTATAACGTCTCTGCCCAGCTCTACACACCGTGAAGAAGTCTCCCGCAGGCAGTAAGGGGCAAATTGGTTAGTTTGGACATAAGAAAAGAGGGCCAACGAAGTTTTTGGCTGTGGTTTTTGCCTTGCTGGAGACTTATAAATTGTCTTGTTATTGCCAGGATGTAATGTGTCACGCACGAGTTGAACACGGATTTCCCCAGAATGCACTGCGAGAAAGGTTAAAAACATGTTTAGTATTTGAGCATTACAGTGAGACTGTTCTGTTGTTGTGTTTCAGTTTCTACGACGGAGGTGCTGATCTTTGAATAAGCGAGCAACAACGGTGAGTAGCAGGCTTTTTGCCAGGAAAGGTTATTTTACAAAGTCGTGAAAGTGTAGTTGAAATCAAAGTTTGTGGTTTCGTATAGCGACGGTTTATTTTTGGTCATGTGTCGAGCGACTCTCGAAATTTACTGTGTCCAAAAAGAACCGCCGTCCTACTGCACAGGCTGAATTGTCGTTCATTTTCAATTTATTGTTGGCATTGCAAGCTAAATGCTGATCGGATCTCGGAAGAGTGACTATTTTTGCTCAAATCATGTTAAAGTTCCCGCGCTATAGCACCGTCGCGACGACGAGCGCCGTTTATGCTTGATTCTCCGGAATGTTCGGTACAATGTTTTTAATCTGCTTTATGCACCGGTACGGCGATTATAAAACCATTGCGGGATGAAACTAATCTAGGGAAAATGATGTAGAAGAGATATATTACTTTTTATACACGTGTTGAGGAATTTTCTTTAAACAAGGTTTTCCTTTTGTCCTTTTCTTTCAGATGTGGCGGGCCGTTGGTTTTATGTATCGGTCAAATCGAAGCTTCAACATGCCCCCCCCGGGCATACCCCGGGCATTTGACACCTTTGTCGTCCCGGGGAGGAGGGAATTTGATTATCAGAGTCTTCTAGGGGGTGGGGAATTTGATCCCCATGCTTTAGGGGTGGGGAATTTGAACTGTACCCTCGATTTCATGTAAAATCTTTGGCGTGGCGACCTATCATGGGGGATGCGGTGTTACAGGATTTTCGTGGAAAAGATTGTGTTTTTGTGGCCAATTGTTTACGAGGAAAGGGCTTAAACAAGCTTTGTGCCGTATTTGAAGTATTTAAATTTTAAAATTTTTAATATTGGATTCAGGCTTTGAATGTATGAATGTATTTTATTGTTGAGTTTACAATGAAATACAACACCTATACCGGCGATTCAATACAACAACATAAAATAAAATAAAAAGCTCAGATCAACTACTTTTACCTACTGTAAGTATGTTAATTAATAAGATGAGCGATGATGCATGTCAGTGAAATAGTCGTGAAGTAGTAATCTCAATAGGTGGGATCTTTTTTTATACAACGCGTTGTATGTTGCATGACGAAGAAAAGCTTAGCATTCAGTGACCTTGTAGCAGCGATTTCGGCCGCTTTGCACGAGACTTTTGTTCGTAGTAAATACGCAAACCGTGTTTCTCAGTTTTTTTATATTTATAAAGATTTTGTTCGACAACTGAAGGCGTTTCCGCCGTCCTTCTGTAATTTCTGTGCCTGTGAAATGTCCCCGAGGTGGGAGCATTTGATCACCTGAATGGACCTTAGTGTGGGGCATTTGAACGGCATTTTGGCCCGGGTAGGGGGGAATTTGAACAAAAATTTTCAAAAAAGTCAAATGCCCGGGGGGTTGCCCGGGGGGGGGGGCATGTTGAAGCTTCGATTTGACCGATACATTACTTGCCCCCTCGGAGCTGGAATATTTACTCTCTGAAATGTTTATATTATCTGTGCTCTGTTGTGGTCAAACACGAAGAAAGCGAAGCGAAACGTCTTGTAAGATAACGTTAATTTAAAGCTATTTGCTTGACCAGTGATTAGTCTTCGAAAATCGCTTGTGTTGAAACTACATCTCTGTTTTTCTCACCTCCTGACCCGTCTTTTGAAATTCAGTCCAACGTTCAGTACGGCGATGTAATTGATATGTAACGCAACGTAATTTGGTATCCTGCCCAGAAGTCCCTCAAATGTTAACCCTCAACAAACCGTACTTCTTGTTTGTAACTGCTCGTCTAACCCTAACCCTCCAATCTAGCCCTAACCTATTCCTAACCCTAACCCCAACCTCGACCTAATCTGATTTCTAACCCTAACCTATCCCTAGTCCTTACCCTAACCTAACCCTAACCCCAACCTTAACCTTAACCTTAACCCTAACTCTTCCTCCCCCTTCCCCCCCTCCCCCTGCTCTTGCATTTAGTAGTATACAGTAAAAACTAAGTAATAGGTGCTTTTCGCAGTTAGCCTCAAAAGGCTCTTATAAATTTTCTGTTTCTTGGAAATTAAGCTCTTTAGGTTCTCCAACATTCGAGGTTCTTATTTTCTTAAGGAAAAAAGACTTTTTGGAAGAATGTTGGTGGTTTTAAATGTTTGTACAAAATATGCATGTTGTTATGTCTAAATGACTGCAATTTAAGCCAATAGAAACTATTTTTGCCATTAGAATGATTATTTGACTTTAAGAACTCCATAGCGATCTGTTTTAACATTTCTACTTCATCAGGTTCTTTCAAAATCTTAACCTGAAGAATTCTGGTCCTTATCTGTGCCTCTCCACTGTGTCACTAACCTGACATAATAATGAGTGACACGTGCATGTTTCACTGTACAGTATTTTTCAGATGAAATAAAATACTGATTTGGATTTTTTTTTTGTTGTATTGGGGGCAATTAGAGACTTAGTGAAAACTATACACTGTAATTTTCCGGGAGTTACAATAACTCCTCTAGTGGGGCTAATTTAACTCCTTACAGTGGAGTTATTTCTCGTGGAGTTATTTTAACTCCAAAAAGGAGTTTAAAGAACTTTTTTCAGGATTTAAAGTGACCCCAGATATTGAGGAGTTAAAATAACCCCAAAAAAGGAGTTATCCTGTACCTAAAATTTTTACTCCACTTTCAGAGTTAAATTAACTCCAAAAAGAGTAAAAACAGCCCATGTAAGGAGTACAAGTAACCCCATTTCGAAGTGATTTTAACTCCAGACTGGGAGTAAAAAGAACTCTTTTTCAGGAGTAAAAATGACCCCGAATTCGGAGTTAAATTAGGAGTTAAAATAACCCCAAAAAAGGGGTTATCCTGTACCTAAAATTTTTACTCCATTTTTGGAGTTATAATAACTCCCTAAAAATTACGGTGTACTCCTTTCGGCACGAACGAAAAAGAAGACTTATTGTCTTTTAAGATATCATTGTGATAATGGAATCTGCCCTGGGTGGTTCCGTTTCCAGGCATCCGCTGGCATAAGGATGGCAACTTCAAGTCCGCCTACCAACTGGTGTAACAGTTATACATCCGGATAGATGAAAATGAGAATGGTGGGCACCCCGCAGTAGCAGACGGCCAGGTCACCAGGACGGTGTGTTTGCATTGGAATAGCAACTGTTGTCGCTGGTCAACAAACACTCATCAACGTGAGAAACTGTGTTCTTTATGTGTACTATCTTAGTGCTACACCTGCTGGTTGTTCTCTCCGTTATTGTGGTACTGACTAAACACAAGGTGCAAACAAAGTATTCCTTTTATTTGTCCAAAGAAAGAACTGTGAAACAAATTAAGCTTTAATTTCTGTAACTTTCAGGTCAGCAAGTCAAGTGCAGTTTTCTTCAGTGCAACTTAATTCGCGGAGTCCCTTAAACTATTTGAAGTAATATTATCAGCACTGAAACTATTGCTAAAATGGGACTTTCCAGGCATCCAGACTAGATAGAAAAAATTGTACCGTAGAAATGACGTCAAACTGTTCAAAAACTCAAGTGGAACGACGAGAAGCAGGCAAGTTGTTTCACTACAAAGTTTTGAGGATTTTGACGTCATTTCTATGGTCGATAAGAGTTCAGACCGTGGAAAATTGTTGTCGATGTGTTTTTAACAATAACATCGACACTTTTTTACGTCCATTTCCTTTGAAGGTTCTATATACTAGGAAAACCGCGCGGGCAAGAAAGATAAAAAACAATATGTGCCATAATCACGTCATTTGCATAGTCTGTACTCCTATCGAAAATAGCTCTTGACCAATTAGCCCGGGAGAAGTCACTCAGTTATTATAAAAACAGTTTTCTCGATTACTTCAGTGATCATAAATTAATACACTGAGTTCAACAATGCAATGGAGGTGATGCTAGCCAACTAGGATGAACATCATGAGGAGGGAAACGACAATGTTAACTTGCTTTAAAATTGATCTGCACAGGGAAGCGTTCAGTAAAATCGTAAACCCAATATAATATTTAGCAAATAGATTCCATGTTGCCGTGTGTCTGTTCATTAATAGATCAATGTGGCCCAACAAAGAAGTGGCAGAATAGAACTGCAGGCGAGTGTGTGACTGACGATTTTTACCGTTTGACTGTTCGAAGATTTGTGTTAGTTTAGGCGTTTTTTAAGTCTCAAACGTTACTTTTCGTCAGTTCGTCTTCTTTCCTTCTCTGTCTTAACTTATATTACTCAGTTTCTTTCGAACGTTGTTCAACGTCTTCCTTTATTTAAAGCAGGATAGTCGCGAAAATATTTTGTAAAACTGCAAGTCTCTCGTAGCGATGACACATGACGGAAACGGTAAGTTGTGAAGATTTCTTGCAGTTTGCAGCCATTCTCAAGTTCTCAAGAACTCTTTTTGCCCCCCTTTTTCCTTTTATCCTCTTTGTAAACAGCTCTTTTTTGAAGGCTTTCACTTGCTTAATTCAAAATAATCTCACAAACATTTTCAAAACCACGCGCCATGAACAAAACAAAGAAAACAAGTTTCTTGTGATGTCACCCATGTCTCTGTACTCTCATAGATCATGCAGGGCAACGACCAATCACAGCACGCGTAGCATTCACATCATTGTATAAAACAAATACATTTACAGTCAACTCTTGGCATTGCGGTCACCTCACCGTTACAGACGTTGTTTTGACTGAAAAAAGAAAAATCCCATAATTATGGACTATCGCTATTAAGACACTATCGCGGTCCCGAGGGGCGCACGAGGTTATACGCAATAACTAGGACTACACAAGGTTAAGGACCAAACCATTTAGGACAGGAATTTGTTGTGACTACAGTACACCGAATATACCGCGTAGCTTGAATTTTCGACATGAAAATACTCCAGCCTTGTGTGAAAAATGTTCACACACTGAAACGAAGAGCAAAATACAGAAACCTATCCGATGTGTGACGATCCACTCTTAACATCGGTGCGGCCCGGTACAGTTTGCTCCTATACAGAATCCGCTAGCTCCTACATTACTCGGCTATGACTATCGGTTTATCAATAAACGGGTACTCGCATTTATAAAAAACAGTTTGACGAGAGAATAGAAGACTGATTAGTCATTATGTTTGAGCTGCGGCGACTTCAAAGATTTGATGGGATTTAGGTAGAGCCTGTTTTTCTCCTCCTCACTCAAGAAGACCAATGGGAGGCTCTGTTAGCAGGATGAGAAAAAAGATGCTTGAGACTCCGCATGAATCAAATGAGATCTTTGTTAGGCATGCGCTGCATGTTGCTAGGATATAGTTTGGGTCTAATAGCCGAGCACCTGCTAGAGCAGCCTCGGTTGTGACCATCGGTTTATCGAATAGCTGGTACTTGCACTCGAATAAACCTGTTTGACAAAAGATTGATTAGTTCAGAAGTTTGAGCTGCGGTGACCTCATAGGTTTGTCGCGATTCAGGTAGAGCCTCCTTTTCTCCTCCTCCTCACTCAAGAAGACAAATTGAGGCTCTACTCGCAGGATGACTGTAAACATTTAGACAAACAAAATTTAGCCACAAAATATGAAGGTCATCTTCAGAATAATAATAATAATAATAAAAACACGTCACCACGACTTTGATATGATGAACTCTTAGCAATTGTATTATGAGCGTGTTTCCGTCATGTTTGTCTGGTTGTTTGACCACGACTGAATGTATAAAATACCATTTTTGCCAGTTTTTCTTTTTCTTTTTCTTTTTTTTTTCAATTTGCGGTTTGTGATCGTTATAAATTTTTGTTGTTAGCTCCCACTCCCAAACGCCCCAAGGTACCTATATACAAGTCGTGCATGCGCCTCGTGGCTGACCGCTGAGTCAAACTGTTCTACGATGAGTTCCAATTTGGTAACGGTTCACAATCAAGAAGAAAATGTCTACATTCAACACGGTCACAACGGAGAGAGATCTTGGATTGGACTCAATGACCGAAGTGTGGAGGGCTCCTTTGTGTGGACAAACAAAGAAATAAGCAAATTTAGGTTCTGGGCCCCACAGCAACCGAACGACTGGAAAAACGAAGACTGTGTTCACACTCTCGGCGCCAGGCATGGTTACACTTGGAATGATGTGCCATGTACTAACTATTACAACTACACTTGTTTTAAAGGTAATAAGCGTAGCACTATAAAGATTTATAACCGTATATATCTTAATCTTCACGTTCCAGAGAGTGAATCTACTGAATTAAAACTACATCAAAAAGGTCGAAACACAATTACAGCATGTTAGGCAGATGGTTAGACAGATTGCACGAAAATGAAGAGAGGGTAACACCGATCAGTTTCATTGTTAGAAACATAGGGAAACAGGTCGTATACATTTGCATTAAAAAAAATGTCCATTGACCTAAAAATGGCCGCAAAAACATGAAATCGGCGTAATCAAAAGAAGAACTAGACAGCGTTCATACGTTGGAACCACGGGAAAAGTCGCGCTAACCTCCGCTTACCTTTTAACCCGGTTTTCTAAACACCTCTTTGCAAATTATTAAAGAACATGAGTACATACGTTAACTCAGGGCACGCTAACGACCCTTTTTGCAAGTTCCTTTTTTCAAACATTTTTTTTCCCTTGCCAGTGTACGTCAATTACCCAAATACACCACAGTATATTTTTTTTAAACAAGCTTCATTTACAAAAAAAGTCATGTTGTTTGACAAGAAGTCTCTGTGTGCTTACTTTTTAGACTTGGATGAATGTACCACTGGTTCCCATTCCTGTGACGTCAATTCCGTATGCCAGAATACCGTGGGTTCATACAAATGCTCGTGTAATGCTGGGTACACAGGAGATGGAAAACCTTGCAATGGTATTTGAGATACAGTTGATCCTCCATGTGCGACCACCTCTCCTAAGCGACCCATAAGTCGACATAGAGCTACACATATCGTAACTTTGAAATTGCACACAATAAATTGTTTTTCAAAGAGACAACCTACTCTAATCTGAAGGTTCTTAAACAAGACGATGAAACCATTGAAGGTGCAATGTTTGTGTGCAAAAGCTCAACACTGTCATGTCATTTTGGAAAAAAAGCCTAAAACCATATTTGTTAAAACATAAAAACAACAAACAAACAAGAACCAAAAAAAATGGATGCATTCACCTTAGCTACCAGATGTAAACCATCAGGTAGATTTAATATTAGTTATTCTAACGCTTTACGTAACTTACAATTCTCATGCAGATATCGACGAGTGTTCTACCAACTCTCACAGCTGTGACGTTAATGCGGTTTGCAGTAATACTGTTGGATCGTACGCATGCGCATGTAAAGCAGGATTCGCAGGCAATGGAAAAACACGCTCTGGTAAGCTGTTGCGGTGTTGTAAAAAAACGCTTCCAAACGATGTGCGTGCCTGTGTTTTCTATATTCGATCTTTACATTTAAACATGTAGAAAACGATGGACATATAGATTGTTTTCACATGACGTCACGGCGGCCATATTGGTGTCCCAAAACAATGAAACGGCGGCCATGTTGGTGTCCCAAACCAGTCCTCTGGGAGTTGCACTCTTTTCTTATACAAACGCTTTCTTTTGTTCCAATATATTTGCATAGATGTTGGCCACGTGAGTGAAAACACTCTATAACCTCAATAGTTCCAAATAATAATTAAAGCGAAACTAGAAATACGTATCTCGCAAAATTTCACTAAACTCGTTCTTTCACAATTGTCAAGCCCAGCCGGTTAGAAACTGATTAGGTGACCAGGCTCTAATCTGTCGTTAGACCTGGGACTCCTCTCTGTCTTCTGTTTTGTTTCATTATCCTATTTGATTTTCATATGCGTATTTTAAAGCATATTTAGCACTTAACGGCTTAACCTCAAAACAAAGATAGATTTCAGGGAAGTTTAAAGGTATTTTCTGTAAAACCCAAACTGAGAAGCACGTCCGACAAACATATCCTGCGAGCTAAAGCACAGGGGGCCCACACAATCTGTTTGTGTAGCCCATTGTTATTTTATAGTAACTGTACTGGATTTACCGTTTCCTTCACCTATAGCGATATATCGCTAACTATGTATATAAATAAATGATAAATAAACGTTGAATTACCTTGCCTGTTGTGTATAGTCGTCCTTTTGCCTCAAAAGCGGTTTTTTGAGCGATTTTGAATGAATTTGAGTTCGCCGTTGACTGTTCCATATAATAGAAGGACTTCTATTATATGGAACAGTCAACGGAGAACTCAAATTCATTCAAAATCGCTCAAAAAATGCAATGGTATTTGAGATACAGTTGATCCTCCATGTGCGACCACCTCTCCTAAGCGACCCATAAGTCGACATAGAGCTACACATATCGTAACTTTGAAATTGCACACAATAAATTGTTTTTCAAAGAGACAACCTACTCTAATCTGAAGGTTCTTAAACAAGACGATGAAACCATTGAAGGTGCAATGTTTGTGTGCAAAAGCTCAACACTGCCATGTCATTTTGGAAAAAAGCCTAAAACCATATTTGTTAAAACATAAAAACAACAAACAAACAAGAACCAAAAAAAATGGATGCATTCACCTTAGCTACCAGATGTAAACCATCAGGTAGATTTAATATTAGTTATTCTAACGCTTTACGTAACTTACAATCCTCATGCAGATATCGACGAGTGTTCTACCAACTCTCACAGCTGTGACGTTGACGCGGTTTGCAGTAATACTGTTGGATCGTACGCATGCGCATGTAAAGCAGGATTCACAGTCGATGGAAAAACATGCTCTGGTAAGCTGTTGCGGTGTTGCAAAAAAAAAAAAAAAAAACGCTTCCAAAACGATGTGCGTGCCTGTATTTTCTACATTCGATCTTTACATTTAAACATGTAGAAAACGATGGGCATATAACCTCAATGGTTCGAAAAATAAATAAAGTAAAACTAGAAATACGTATCTCGCAAACTTTCATTAAACTCGGTCATGCACAGTTGTCAAGCAAAACCGGTTAGAAACTGATTGGGTGACAATGGTCTAATCTGTCGTAAGACCTAGGACTCCTTTCTCTTCTGTTTTCTTTTTGTCTAATTGTCCTATTTGATTTTTAAATGCCTTGAATCAAACCCTTATGAGTTTCTGGTGTAATGTAATGTTTTTTCCCTTCGTTTCTATGTAAAAAAGGCAAAAAAAAAATCGATTACCTATTGTACTTAAACAGGATTAACGCATAGAGAGAATGAGAGTAAATGACCTTGTTGACCAAGAGTTTGCTGCATCACTAAACAAGAAGCCTTCCTCACTTTTTTTTCCAGATATCGACGAGTGCTCTACCAACTCTCACAGCTGTGACGTTAATGCCGTGTGTAGTAATACTGTTGGATCTTACGCATGCGCATGTAAAGCAGGATTCACAGGAGATGGATTCACATGCACTGGTGAGTCGTTTGAGTACAATTTTGTTTGTTAGATATGTTTGTTTTTTGAGTGAACCGACAACAACGACAGCAATGCAACAGTCTTTTGTGCTCTTCTCGCCTTTTACAGTTAAAGTTTTGGTTAGGCTGGAATTTATACTAATTTTAGTATTGACTATTTAGTAAACAAAAACAAAAGCGGAGCCAAGCGGCCAGTTTATATGACAAGTGCAACGATGGCGACTGTTCAACCCTGCGATTATTATTTTTTTTTTTTGGCCAAAAAGTCACTTGGTTCGATACCTTAACTGTAAAACAATGAGAAATAATGATAAACAATCATGTGTTATTGTTTCTGCGACCAATGAGGAAACACCTTAGAGCAGCTCTTTCATTACTGGTTTTTTTTTTTTTTTTGGCATCACGCTTAAGATAATTCATTTCGTTTTTCTCGTTCTGTTTTCTTTTAGCAATGAAAACCGTTCTGATTATACATTTTGGCATTTTTCGTTTTGTAGATATTGACGAGTACTCCAGCGGTACTCATAACTGCCACAGTTCACTTGCTTCATGTACAAACACAGTGGGATCTTTTAGTTGTTCATGCGACAATCCTTACACTGGAAATGGCAGATCTTGCAATCTAGCATCAGGTAATCAACTCGCCGAATATTAGGAAGATGTCCGTTTACTAAACCTCTAATAATTATGCCGGCATAGGGAACGTCGTTACATCCGGTAGGATTGTCCCAATACTCATTTCGTACCTAAGTGACTAAGCCAGCCTTCAACAAATGTTTGAGCTTCTCACTCTTCTCACTCGTTCAATAATTGTTGAATATATGAACTGATTATGACTAAATAAGGTTATCTCAATATAAGCTTCAATAGAAGACGAACACTTTGAACTTGTCTCCGCCATGTTAAGGCGGGGAACAAAAAAATCATTATATCGATCACGATATGAGCACTATTACTTTTAATCAGGCGAGTTTATTTCCTTAATTTTGCCGAATAACTGCGAAGCGGTTAACTTATCGTCGAGAACTAACTGTTACCTAAGTTCTACAACTTTAAGTTGAACAGAGGAAGACTTAAGTTAGTGGTCTTAGTTATTTGGCGATAGGGTAAACATATCTTTTTTGTTTACTGGAGATATAAACTGCATGCATTCGGAGATAGACCCAAAGCAAGAGACAGAGAATGTTCCACTAAATCCTAATTCGCTAGTATCTTTTCCCCCTTTTTTTAGTATATTGTGTCTTATATTTTGTTTTTATTCATTCACGGTGACCTTTGAAAGAAATTCAGTTTGCTGCATCCGCTTTCCTTTCCCTTACAGTGTATTTTGTTTCGCTCTTCTTTTACTTTATTCTTATTTATTAATTCTGTGCAAATTTGTTTTACGACATTTTACCCTGAACGCCAAACGAAGATAAACACGACTTCAATCAGTAATATATTCGTACCGTGCGCAACATTACATTGGGGGAGCTTAAGCATTGAAGACCACCATAGTAATAAATTTAGATTAGCAACTTTGCACGTTTATCATGCTTTACTGAATAAGGTGAAACTTCCTTGAAAAACTTATCAATATTTTTTAGTAGGCGTATCGTCCAATGGACTTTACGAACTTAAACACTTGGGGCGGGGAGGGAGGGGGATTAATTCGGTCTGAGGGAAAATACGAGTTAGAATGGCTGAAACAATTTAATGCAGATAAGGATGAACGTTTTATATAAATAGTAATGCAAATGAACTGTTATGTAATACGGTCATCCTAATTTGCAGCAAAATGAAAAGTCAAAACGTACTTGAACAAAAACAATCGAGGTCAAAAAAAATTCACCCTAAAACAAACAACAACAAAAAAACCTTATTCTTAAAAAAAAAAAAGAAAAAAATTCTCGAAGTTTTTTAAGTGAGAAACACCAGGCCAATCCAATTTCACTACTGATATCGGGCCAAGAAGAAGCTGGTGAAGCAGGAGACACAAGCAGTTCTTACATGTATCCGTCACTGACCGGTTTGCGATTCTGCAAAACTTATGAATTCCCATTATGTCGCGTCGCGTCGTAGTTGGATGGAGCGACACTCTCTTTGAACGTTTTTCCCTCTTGTACGATTCAGAATAACTGTCACTGGAAATTTATTTAATTTGGATAGCAGTTTTGCGAAGGCAGGTAGACGCTTAAGGCCTGTTTACATGGAAGTAGGGATCCCCAGGTTTAAGTGAGGTGACCCGCTTAGGTAGGGTAACCCGCCTGTCTTTACAATCTCTCGTATGGTCACCCCCTACCTATTATGTAAACTTGATCAAATTAAAATGAGAGATTATATGGACAGGCGGGTTACCAACTACACGTGAACAGGTCTCTAAACTGTGTACTTGAGGTTGTACAATGTATTTGCATAATTATATCTGACCAACCTTTGTTATTTTGGCTGCTTGTGTGTTCCCATTTTATTGTTTTTGTTTTGTTTTTTTTTTCAGTAAAAAAGAGAAAGCCGTTATTTAGAAAAATCCTATTGAAATGAAATATTTAGTAACAGTAATTGTTTATCAGGCTACCCCATAAAATGGCTTTTCAGCCAACTTTGCAATTGCAATTTGATAATTAAAAGCATAATTATCTACTTCACAATATGTGAAATTTATTGGAAAAAAACTGAAATAAGGAAATGACGCCTCTTCACTTCAGCCTTATATTAAGCCCCCGCTCAAAAGTGCTTGAAAAAAATAAGTCCCCGGGGGGCTTAATAGAGGATTTACGGTAAGCTGCTTGACATTCTCTTTATTACCTAAAGATTCTGCAAAGTCATTCCAGAAGCGGACTGCTCATGGCAGCTGACCGGAAGGCATGTCTAACTTGTTTCTGTTTCCGATATTACGAGAGTGCGCATCGACCATTTTCTTAAACCTGTTACAGATAAGGGGCTGGGCAAGCCTCTTAACATGTGTTAAATAAGCTCGAATTTTTTTTAAGGCTTGTCAAAGAAAGCAAGGCACGCGTTTTATCACTGGTTAGAAAATCTTGCGCTCATTACGCTCGAATGTTAAACCAGTGATAAAACACTGCTGTTCATGTTTTAAACATTTACTAAACACGGAACGCTTCAGACTAGAAAACGATTGTTTTTCCTTTTCCTACATTGAGATACATTACCTTAGAATTAAACACCATAAAACATTCACCAACATTTGACAATTAACTTGAACGAAATGGAATAAGAGTGAAAAAATTAATTTGAAACAGCGTAAATACACTTTTTTGTGGCGTTTTCGCTCCATGCCTTCGCAGTAGTGGTTGCTTGACGCTCCTTATATGGAAAGAGACCGTGACTGATAGGGAGATCGGGTATGCCAAATATGGAGAATATGGAATCTACGTCTCCGACTGAGTTAAATAAACTTTGGAGGGGCTAAACTGTAACGTCACTGAAATTCGCAGTAGGCTGCGAGATTAAAAGCATGCCATTTGAAGAGAGAGCATCATGCCGCCAGCACGCAAGCTCAGAAAGAAAAAAAAAACTTTATAGGCGTTTGTTATTTTGCGCCTTTTCCTGATCATTATGATAACAAGCTTCAAGCGTATCTGACACTTGCTAGCTTGTTATTGTAAAGGGAAGATCTACAGGAAGTCTAGTTCGCTGCTTTCCGTTATTTGCTCTATGAGATCCCTTGACGCACACGGATCCGTGCAGAAGAAGAAAATGAAATTGCATGAAACTGCAGCCAATGAAAAAAATCAAACAGGAATAGTTCGTACTTCCTTTTGAGTTCATGGGCATCCTCACTCAAGGGAGTGAAACTCAACCTTGCTGCCAATGTTCCCAGGCAACCTTATAGCACTAGACCACTCAGTAAGAATTTTTTTTTTTTTTACAGTTGCAAAGGTATAAAGTAAAAGTATTTTATTACCTACACTACAACGCGCGGAATTTGTGAGTTTTTTTAGTTAGCCACATTTTCATTAACTAACTGAGTTATTCCTCGCGCGTTGATAGGATAATTTCTTTCAATAATAAGGGACCGACCATTTAACTCTTTAGGTGGGGGGGGGGGATTTCTGCTCATCAAGAATTTTTTTTCTAGCAATCTGCTGGGCAGGATATTTTTTTCCCTTCTAAATGCCCCGCAGGATATTTTTTTCCCTCCTCATTTCTCTGCAGGATTTTTTTCCTCAAAAAAGGGTCATGTGTTTACATATACAGAATGTATTTACATTTACATTGTGGTCATTGCAGTAATAATTCTAATATGGAGCTGCAAAGCCTTAAAATTGTATAGCTATGTTTTTGGAAAGTCATTCTTTACACTCATTTTATATTACGTCACAATAAAGTGATGCATCACAGGCAGATGTGAAAACGTTTAGTTTCTTAATTAAAAAAATAGCCAAACTTTGTCCAAGGGAGGGGATGTTTTGAATAACAATTAAGGTTTGAAATGGCAGAGGGTGTGGAATTTGAATTTTATTGACCAAGAATATTTGAAATCAATCGTCAATAGCCCCCGGGTATCCCTGCACTCCCCCCATTGGGGCTAGACATTGATAGGTGCATTACTAAAACTTAAAAAAATATTACATTAAAATAGAAAAACGGCATTGCAAAAATATTATATTTAAATAGAAAATAATTACATAAAAATGTTTCTGTTAAAAACGAGAAAAATAACTTCCTTTGTCTATTAAAACTTGATTCTTTAATAAAAAAAAAATTACCTCCATTTAGCTTGTGATAAGCTAATAATGCATCGCACATATGAAGCAATAATTTTGCAGCATCATCAAATCCAGTGTTCAAAAGGAGCAAGGGAAGAGAATGGTTCCAGTTTTGCTGCGATTTTGTAAAGCCCCCCGGAATGACGAAATAGCTTTGCAACATTTTTTCTTTCTTTCTTTCTTACAGCAGCGCAATAATTTTTTTTCGATTACATTTAATTGTGCTGCATGCAATTTTTTTTTCTTCCGACACGCGCGCTTGCAGGAAAGAGTTAAATGGTCGGCCCCCAAGAGAACAGAGATAAAATTTTAATTTCTGTAAGACGAAACACCCGCTTAGGGACTGTGCAATAATTATCAGGAAGGGGGGGTCCTAAAATGAGCTTCACCAAAGGAAAAATAAGATAAGTCCCCCCCACCAGCAGCGTCAAGATTAGCTCTGACCCCCCCTCACGTTCTCTCAAAATTATGATGTGTTTATGCTGGTGCAATATTTAGACATTATACGGATAGTCAAAGGAGTGGCATCTGTCTATTTGGAAAATGTTTATTTATTCATTATCGAATTTGTGAAGACCCCCCTCAACTTACTTGAGAAATCTAATGTAGAGCTCCCCCTCCTTCCCATTAT